AAGGCCAATTTGTGAATTGGGACCATACAACTTTGGTGCACCTTTAGCCATTGATGTTTTTTGTAAAATTTCATTGAAACTGGTTCAGGACTTTTCCAGAAGAAGTTGTTAAAAATGTTAAAAATTCACAAAGCACAACACATGATGCTGGTAAAAGGGGATCACATATAAATAACTATTGTAGTTTTGACCAGTCAGAGAAATGCTTGTGTAGCTACTGCATTGGTTTTCCATCGGAAAATATAGTACAGTATAGGTCTAGTAAAGGTAGAATACTATAGCTGTTTACAAAACAAAGGTGTCTATAATTTTACAGAGGAGCTTGGTTGTGATCAGATTTGAGACACTTTGCTGTTAATTTTCATATAACTGAAATGTTGCCCAACACCTGTTCTTTGCCTTTTAATTGGGAACAATTTTTAAAATGCTAGCGTTTACAATCATGTGGTGGATGCTTTTTAACTTTTTTATTGATAGCATACAAATATATTGTATCGAAATAATAAAGATGAATCAAAACTTTTATCAAAATGCAAACATGATGATTTAATCAATTAATACCTAGTTTTCATATATACCTACAAATATACCTACATATACCTACAATGCCTAGAAAAACTTTTCATTTTTCAGAGTGGAATCATTTGAAATAATGCTTTGCTCATTCTTACAAGCTGGAACTTGCATGCCATTATATACACAGGGACCATTGATTGCTGCTGTCACTAATTAAATCAAGGCTGTATAGACAAATCCAGAGCTAGCATTGTTAGGATCATTACAGATACGTGTGTATCTGATTAGAGTACCCAGTCTCTGTTTGTATTACAACCAGTACTAACGCATGTGCTACCATGTTCTGTAGTCGCTATAATGAGCTACCTATTGTCACACGTAAATATAAACTTATCACTGTCAAAAACTCCTGTCATTTATAACCCAACAGTGAGAGTTTTCGGAGTATACAAACATCATATTGATTGTTATGCATTACCCTAAAGGACCCGAACACCAATATTTCCTATTTAGAGAAGCTGAGGGCAAAAACAGCTGAGTTGTCACTAATAAAGACTATGAAAAGTTGACTTGTACAACCAAATGGTATAGTGACAGTTTAATTACTCACTTCAGTATCCTTGAGCAACAGGTTTATACCTTCTGTCTGTCCAGTTTACAAATTTAAGAAGCAGTAAGATGCCTACAGTAAATGTAGCATTTCATGGCCTCGTTAAAATCTAAATGAAATACAATGCATTTAGACTATAAACAACAAATTACTAACTGTAAACACTGAGTTTAACAAAATCTTCAATATGTATGCCATATTTTGAACTATGTGTATATTCTTTTTCTCTCTCTCTTACAATTTCACTTCAATGTAAGATTTGAAGTGAACCTCTATGGTTCAGGACAAGAGCAAGAGAGACACAGCGAAGGCTAAATAACTAAGACTGTTTCATAGCATTACAGATATCAGCGCACTGAAGTGTAATCAAAAACTGGATTTGTGGAAAAATTACATCTGCTTGGATACCCCCTTCATACAAGAACTAGAAGTTTCGTTAGAAGTATTTGTTCATCCAGGTTTGAAATTCTTCACCAAAACAAGCAAACAAACCAAAACAAGTAATTATATAAATGGCTTGCACATTATCATTTGATTTCTATGTTTCTAGGTCAAGCTCATCAACAGATCTCTCTAAATTACATGTTTGTTTTGCAAGAAGACCATTATATCACCAGCATGTACAATAGTACCAGGGAAGCTTGTCTGTTATAAACCATACAGATGATATGGAACATTAAAACATCACAGATTTGCATTCTATATTGCTGTTTCAAGTTGGTATGATGTAGGTGAGTTAATTATGTCTTATAAAACTCTTGCCAATATCAATATATATGAAGTCTTGATGGAGTATTTCATGGTTGCTTGCAACAATACAGAATTATTTATATCATTAGCACAATTGTTTGACCAATAATTTCATAACAACAAATGTGGTTTTATGACTCATAAAAGTACATTTTTGTATATGTACTGGTACCAGAATCAGTACTAATAGTCAACAATTGTTACAAGTTCTACCTTGGGTCCAAATGAAAACACTGTATCCACCTGACAACCCCATTGAAAAGTATATTGTAGATTACATTTTCATGTCCTGTATTCTGTGTAATTGGTGTTAAGTCTTACTGACCTATATCCATAGTCAATTATTTTTTATTTACCTGTTAAATAAACTAGTAAGATAATTACCATATAAAAGGGCTTTTACCTTGATAACATCTATAATTGAAACCACTGACAATCAACCAATTACATCCTATATCTAGACAGTAGACAATGAGCTAGTTTACTAATTCATGACACTTTAGCAAAATGAGTTTTCAAGATTAGCAGTGAAACTGATGAATGCCTCTTGAAAACAGCTTGATCACACACAAAATTTTAACAAAGGGCATTAATTCTGTAATTCAGAGTTTGCAGGCACTCAATTAGGTATACTGCACATTCTTTGGATATGACCAGTTTATACACCAAGTTTCATTATCCAAGTTTTAATGCAAGAAAAGCAAAGGTCAATAACTCTGTCCTGAGGGGTCATAGGTTCTGACTTTGCAACACTGCACCTTGCTTTTATATTGCTGATGTATACGTCACCTTCAACATCCTAGTTTAAATGCAGGCAATGTAATGCTCCAGACACAAAATTTTAACAAAAGGCATGTAATTAAGGGTTACAGCCCCTAACAATGATATACTGCACATTAAATTCATATGATAAATATATACACCAAGTATCATTATCCTACCTACCTTAAATGCAAGCAATTTAAAGTTGTGTTATAAGACAAAAACAAAATAACAAAGTGCAATAACTCTATAATTATGGAGTTGCTGGTCCTGAATTTGCTATGCTGCACATTGTCCCAGTATGATCAATGTATACACCAAGTTTGGTTAACCTAGTTTAAATGCAAGCAATGTAATGATCTGGATACAAAATTTTAACAAAGGGTAATAACAATGTAACTGAAGGGTTGAGCGCTCTAAATTTGGAACACTGCACATAATCTTAGTTTGACCGAAGTATTCACCAAATTTCATGATCCTTGCTCAACTATGGGTAATGTTATGCTCCAGACATGAAAAGACAGACAGATGGACAGAGTAATAAACGGACAGACAAGGCAGCTACTACCACCTACTTGGAATGTTTGGTAGGAAATTTCTGCATTTCTAGGATTTATCTTTTTTAATTGACACTGCCTCTATAGAAACAAATCTACAGACTAAAGAACTATTGAAACTGCGCCAACTGAATCCTTTCTACCCTATAACCAACCATCAGTGATTGATGCAGTACAATAGCTGTAACATGTCCACTTCCACTTGTTTGGTAGTGGAAAGACAACTGATGTATAAGTAAAACACACCAGCAGTATATATATAGATATATATATATATACCTGGCATTGTGCCATGATTCAGGTCACTGACTAAGTATCTTGCATACTTATGGCTTTTTCACAATCAAGTTTTCATTGAGATGAATTATATACACACAATAGAAGTGTTTATGTTGATTCCAGCTTCATGTTTACGCAGTTGTAGAAAAATACTTTCTGCTATATAACCACTCACATCGAGCCTTTAATTATTAAACTATAGACATTTTTTCTTGACTAGTGTATCTTCACCTGGGACAGATATCTAAGTATCAAAACATTATCATCTTAAAAAGTGCCAACTTTATGACTTATATTTTATTTCAAAATTGATTATTAAGAATAGCTATGCTGATCAAAGTGTACTTCTTGCCGGAACTTTGTTAATTATAATACAATAATTTATATAGAAGTAGTATAATTCAGCCTCATCCGAACTTTGATGAATCATTCTCTCTATAGGGAAAGTCCTTCTGTCCTAAGTGTTGGTCCGCAAATTTAGAGAACTTACTGAATATAAGCCAATCAGGTAAAAGGTGAGTAAGAGGTATCTGACCTTGACCTTTGTTTAGCTATTAAGACGTTGATGCAGTTAATTAGCTACAACACAGAGGCTTTGGCAAAACTTTTCAATGTTTCTGCACTAAGATTAAGATTTTGTAACATAAAATTTGCTGAACAATTGACAACCACCGAAAAGCTTTCATAAACTCATTAAATAGCCATAAGTAACACAAACACATGTTCTATATTCACACCGTGTCACAGAGTATAGCTGTGTATACGTATCATACACAAAGCTGATGGTTGAGGGTATTGACAGTAGTACATGTACATGTGTATTAGGTCTCTACATATAAGTGTACTACACATTATTTACTCAAATCACATATACATCCTGAAAGAAATATAGAAATAAACCAGTCCTACTAATTAAAATGTTGGATGATTTGACAAATGGCAGTGTACAAAACACGTCTGCAATATTTGATACAATTTACCAACACTGAGCCGGACATAGATATTCACGTTGTGTCTTGCTTTGGTACATCATAGCAGACTAGTATCATACAGATAAAAAATAATTAGTGAATACAACATAAAAGTATCATCATTTATCTCTAAACTAAATTAAAACACCATCCAGTAAGCTGCTTTAGTAAATTATAAAAGGTAGGTCACCTTTATAGCACGATAGCTATCTTACTCAGCTGTAACTTACATGATCGGTGTACGTAGTTGTACCTACACCAGTACAAATGTGCTGGGCCGACAGACCCTATGCATGCGAATCCATACAGACACTAACTAAATGTTGGACACTACTTTTACAACATCCTTTCGTATCTGGACTTTTGGTGCGCCGTTATCAACTACATTACACACAGAGAAAGTCCAGAATCATGAGTACGTTAACTCCCATGTCAGATAACTGGGAAGTGGGCAGGTCTCGTACTCAAGATTATTATCGCGTGTAACTATTTATCCAGATATGCAGAAATAAAACAACAGTCGGAATTACATTTCAACGTAGAAATTACACGAACCTGATGTCTTGTTGGCACTTGACTAATTCTTGAAGACGGTAGACATTGGAAAAGTCCTCGCCTAACAACCATTGACAAACGAGGAGCCGCCATTTTCCAGCTCTCCGCTGCAGGCGGTGCGACTAAAACACCAAATCGGAGACGGACGGATCAAAATCGAACAAGTGCTCGCTTTGGAATGCAGCGAGTAAAATACGATCGTCAATTGAAAATATTGATCTAACATCAGAAGTGTTCAAAATATACTTATCGCTATTTAAACGATATATCAGTCAATCTAAAACCGATTACCTTCAACATTTCTCTATTTCGCTAAAAAAAATGTACTGATGATATTTTGCCTCTGAAGATAGTGATTTTAATAAAGTAATTTTTACATGATAAAACAGTTTAGTCAGAGGGGAACTTTAAATGTCATACAGATTTAAGACTACTGACCCAATTAATAAGTAATAATAAAATACCTTTACTCGTCCACCATTGATGTATACAGTACTGGAACCAAAGTGGTCTATGTGTCTGTAAATTCTTTCAATCAATTCCTACTTGCCATTTTCTAGTAGAAATTAGCTGATTATTTCGATGGCAACGACAAATAAAAAAGACAATAGAAATATTATCTGCGTAATGGATAATGATGACAGTAATATTCTGTAAAGGAGTAAACATTTAACAATTACATAACCCACCAATGCATCCTCTCATACAAACATTAACACTTTACCATAATTATTAGTTTGCCCAATTACATCAACAAGATGCAATTTGGTGGCAAGTTGCCGGAGACATAGTTAATTCAACATATCAACACAATGACAAAAAGGAAACAGTTAGTGTTTTCACTAAATGCAGCGGGTCAACTTTCCTCAGTACTATGAATAAAAAAACCCAAATAGGAGTTGTATTAGCGGGCAGAATGGCAACTAATATATCAAGGTAGTTTGGTTACGATAATCGACCAATTTGGACTTTTCCTATAAGAACTGATCTTGTCAAACACAAAAGACAAACGCCGATGTTGTATCGGACCCTTGCTTTATTATTATATTTTACTATCAACTTGACATACACTCTGGTGAATGAAAAAAAAAATCTAGAATATGTTTTGTAGATCTTGAAGATTCAAGAACTGTCTGTATCTCATATACCTCAATTTTTGAAAGTGTGTGTGTGTGTGTGTGGGGGGGGGGGGGGGGGACAAATTCGGCAAATATTACACTGATGTGCTAACAACTATTTAGTGTCACAATTAGTCCCTTCCCAATAAAATCAATAAAATCAATAGATGTGGGATCAGGTGGTTTGACTGACAAGGGCTGGAACCTGTGTTAAATTATAAAACACAGCAGCCACCTAAAACCATTTAAAATCGCAACAATTTAATTCCTTCATGTTATTAAGATGTTTCCAGTATCACGTTGACGTATCGTAACGTCTTATGTTTTTTAGTTCTTTATTTAATACTGATAATTAAATTTCTATCGTCAATCTGCATTAACCGTCATCACACCCACAAAGAACAAACATATGAAAAAATCGTGAGTTGTGTTTTATTTTAAACTACATTGTGAAATAAACAATTATATGCACTTGTCGATCTAATGTGTCAACACCTACAATGTATATAATATATAATTTCATGTACATATATATACACGGGCAATAACTGGTGTCATTTCTCAATTAGTTATGATATATAATGTAATTTGGAAGGTCTTGATGCTACTGATTGTATAACTGATATTAATATGATATTAGAAGCTGGTTATTTTTAGATTTGTTTTAAACGTAACTGCACTCACTCAATCTTAAAGTGTTGTCACACTGAAATGTCTTGCTTTCGTCACAATAATACTTCATTCCCTGTCGCATCATAAAGACAACGGGCTAACACTGGATATCAAACAGAGACTCGTACACGGTTTTATTTTGTTTGAAGCTAGTATAATATCATGTACATTGTAATTATAATATGATACCACAGAGTAGATTTTGGGTGAGATATTACTTTGAGATTTCCTTATTTTTTATATCAGTTTTTACAATTGGTCTTTCCTTTTCGCTTGAGGTGTTTCTTTTCACATGTAGTCATATGGTATTATTGAAATCAAAACCATTTCATTTCTTAATTTAAGACTACAGCGGTTATCTCCCTTGCTCAACATTCCGCGTATAAAATTCTTACATACATATTGTAGAAGTCCGAATCATTGCATGACGCTAGATTGATTTTAAAGGTTAAGGTTTTAAATATTCTTACACAATGATGTATTTGTGTCTGTGTGTGAATGCTTAATATGTATAATTTATGTTTAAGCCTATATCTGTATAAGCATGTATTTGAAAAATGTATGATGGGAGAGGGCTCCAATAAGTTGTAATAACTTGTGCCCAATTCCCTTGTTCAAATATATTTTGGCAATAAAATATGTTTAAACTATTGATTTTAAAATGCTGACAGACAGTCATTCCAATTCGGACGATATTTACCAGCTGAAATCCTCATGTGAATATTGATTGAGCGAAAACGATGTTTCGAATATTATCATATTTCTTCGAGGCCAGTCTTTGGCGGATTGTAATTTGAACTGAAAAACGGCGGGATATCTACTTGAGGATCTAAATTTATGTGCATAATATAATGCATATCTATACAAAGACGATTGTTCCGTTTCATGATGAGATTTATAGATCTGGCCTAATAATATTTCGGTGATTCCCATGGGATGGAAACGAATGTAAGATTATGTTTATCACCTAATTTAGATACTTTTGCAGGCATCCATGAAAATATTCATTATTTTACAAAAATTATCAATCTTATCTCTCGTCTACGAAGTTTTATTTGTTGACTTCAGAATGTGTTATGACATCTGAAATTATGATTGGCCAAATTACTGGTAATTGGTAATGGGTTTTGTTACACTGAAAACACTGAAAGACCCAGTTATCAAGAAAAACAACTCAGCTCCCGTCATTATTTGATCTTTATTTAGTCTCTAAAAGTTTTATATTTTTGGGGTGTGTTTGCTATTCATATTATATGAATTTTAAAAATTCCTAAGAAATAGCGATAATAAGATCCATCCTGTACCTCTCCAGAAATAACTATATGAATATCACAAAAAGCTAATGGCTGCCTGTCGGCCGTTTTGCTTTTCGTGTCAGTGCAAAAATGGTACAATGAATTAACTAGGGATAATAGGGAACCTATATATGAAATTTGATGATTGTCTATTAAACACTCCTAAGAAATAAAGAACAAAAATAAAGAACAAACTATCGGACGACTGACTTCGGACAAGGATGAAGGGGGATTTGATCAGCCCAAAACTGATAAACAGTTGCACGTGTATCGAATAAAGGGGGATAAATAGCAAACATTGACGAATATGCGTTCAAGGAATTTCACCCCTATCCCCAAGACAGCGCTACACATGTCCGATCCGATCATTTATTGAATTGATGCTGACTTAAGCCTGTCCAGGTTCCGCCAAGACTTTGATTGTACTGATATCACGGTGGTAGATTATATTTCTTACGGATTTCCCCTTATCATGGACAAAGTACAGTTTCCGGAGACACGTGATCAACATTTTACTTCCTACTGCTAAGAAGTCATTTCCTACGAAAACCCTGGAGAGACATATTAGTTGCACTTTTGGTATTGGTAAAAATTGTAGGGATTACAAACACTGGAACGACTTTTTTAAAGTGACGTCATCTTGAAATTTTGGAGGAATGACATATGAAATTATGGTCTTGCCGTCGAAAAGTAACCAAGTAGATTAATCTGACATAACAGGATGTTAGAAGTTGTCATACATCGTAGTTTACTTCGACTTGTATTAGTTAATCTCGGCTTATCAGAAAGTAGCTTACTTCGACATGTATAAGTTTACCTCGACTTGTATTAGTTTACCTCGACTTGTATTAGTTTATCTCGACTTGTACTAGTTTACCTCGACTTGTATTAGTTTATCTCGACTTGTATTAGTTTATCTCGACTTGTATTAGTTTATCTCGACTTGTATCAGATAGTAGTTTACCTCGACTTGTATTAGTTTACCTCGACTTGTATTAGTTTACCTCGACTTGTATTAGTTTATCTCGACATGTATAAGTTTACCTCGACTTGTATTAGTTTACCTCGACTTGTATTAGTTTATCTCGACATGTATTAGTTTATCTCGACTTGTATTAGTTTATCTCGACTTGTATTAGTTTACCTCGGCTTATCAGATAGTAGTTTACCTCGACTTGTATTAGTTTACCTCGACTTGTATTAGTTTATCTCGACATGTATAAGTTTACCTCGACTTGTATTAGTTTACCTCGACTTGTATTAGTTTACCTCGACTTGTATTAGTTTACCTCGACTTGTATTAGTTTACCTCGACTTGTATTAGTTTATCTCGACTTGTACTAGTTTATCTCGACTTGTATTAGTTTACCTCGGCTTATCAGATAGTAGTTTACCTCGACTTGTATTAGTTTATCCCGCCTTGTGAGATGCCATAGTTTACTCCGTCTTTGAGTCAGTAGTCAGTATCTCGACTTCTGAACATGAAGAAATTTACCCAGACTTAGTTTAAATTTCAATTTAAGATATACTATGAGCGGAACCCAATCACAGATTGGTTACCGGTCCTGGAATATTTTGCCGATAGAGAGCAAGTCAACTGCTTAAACACACCACTGACACTGTCCCATTTGAAACATGCGTGTATAACAGGAGAACTTCGTGGATATATTTTATTTCATTCCTGACATTGGTTTGGTATTTTCTTTCTGATTTTAAAATTAACGATAGTAAACACAGGAAACTTGTGAACAAAGACGGAAAAGATGTGAGTACAGAATTCTAGAGCGGTTTGACACGATGGTTTACATCAGAGCGATCTAGTATAAATACCACACTATGACGGTAGCATGTTATCTAAGCAAATGATTATATACCAGCCTGATATCTTTTTAAACTCATTCACTCAAACGTATAAAAGGATTAGGTACAAGTTATACAACTTATGGAGTCTTTTCCTCTAAATATTACAGAAATATATGATAAGTAGGCAGACAATTAGGTATAAACAAGTCAGATTATTTGTAACAAGTTCCTATAAAAAAAAACTCCCGCTATATCTGATTAAAATTTGCACGTGTCTAAATGTCTTATATTTACAGTGTGAATGAGTGCTTGCCACTCAGCTGACAGGACAGGTTTCTTTGACTCAGTTGGCAGAATCGTGGTTCGATTCCTAAAACTTAAAACACAAGATATTTAAACTTATCAAAGCCTTTTTCAACTATACATTTACAATTACAAGAAAATGAAATTAGCATTAACATGAAGTAGACACGCGTAAATATAAAATATACTAGAAACAAGTTGATAATAATAATTATGATAATAATTAAAGACTTTATGTCAGGTTGATGGCACTTTGAGATAAAAATATTCTTCGACATCAGAATTGTACAACATTTACAATCATTAAAATTGGAATAACACATAGATATAAATATCACAGTAGGATGTATTTAAGGAAACGTTTAAATGAAATAAGTTATAATAAAAGATATGTATGAATGTGTAAAAAAAACATGTGACATACCCAGTAGGGATTAAGAGTTACATAAACTACAGTAATCAGATACAGTAACGATGATAAGATCTTCTAAAACTCCAAGACAGTGGAATTTTGTGTTTAAACGTTGGACATATATTTTTAACATTCAAATTTAAAACTGTTCAAATTTAGGTACTGCCTGACATTGTCTTGTAGACCATTTTAAAGTGTTGGTCTATTAAATATAAATAGAATTCTAAATTTTTCTGTTTTATGTTCACAACAACAAAAACAAAAACAAAAAACAAAAAAAAAAAAACAAAAAAACAAAAATACAAAAGTTCAAAATCCATTGCTGAATTTGATGAGATTTTCCTGATATGTTTCCAACCAAACCAAAGATGCTCTGAACTGTGTGTCTAAGGTATTCACACTTTGAGGCATAATGCATTGATGTCCGTAGCAGATGCAAACTGCAGCTTCGACCAGATTCATTTGACAAGGTCATATTTAAGGTACTACATTGTGCCTCAATTCAGAATGTAGAAGTATATTTTTTAAACTGTCTTTCTCCAAAATTGAAGTAGACATGTAGGGATGATTGTGCAAATAAATCTAACGAGTTCTACCTTGAAGAAGATGTCAGTGTTAGTTTTTTTTTTAATTTTCTGCAATATACGAGAGTAGCGAAACCAGATCCAAAGTGTATATTTTCGATAGGCGCATATGAAGGAAGGCCTATTATAGATACAAGGAGCTTCAATTTTGGTTGTCGCAAGAACACTGAAATTTGTCGATCAGACAACGTCTAGAAATAGGACGAGTCACGGAGACGGAAGTCAGTCTCGGAGACGGAAGTCCTGTAACCAACCAGACAGCACTTATGGTTTTCTCTAATATTTCTGCTTCAGATTTACTACAACCTTCTATAAATTCGCATGCATAAGTGGGAAACACTCTTTTGCTCAGTTGGTATAGCTGTGTACTATCGCGCCGGAGGAAAATTAATGTATTATCTACAACCGAAATGTTTTCTGAAAAACAGACCCTTTATATACGTACACCTATATAAACCAATTACAAATGGAAACCGGCGAAAATTAAACGTATAAGATATCTGAAATAACTTCATTAAGTATGTGATCGACATTGCTGCACGAACAAAAGTCAACTTGACTAAAGATAAGAAGTATGGACATATGGAGGTGTAAAGCGTCTACTCTACCGTTTCATCATGATGTACATTGACCAGCAATCGTTAAACTCACTTTTTCGATAAACACTGAGGGTCCACAGGGCCTGCATCGCTGATATGGTTTAACAAAATCGGAGTCAAAATAATGTATTATCACGGACTTGATTTAATGAAACAACGGTTCATTTAAATTTGGTGGTATGGTTCGTCCGTCGACTGCAAACTGGCTAAGAGGCTTTTGGGAAGCTTGGTGAAGGTTGTGAAATAATAAGTAACTAATATGCATGGTCACTGGGGTCAAATATGTTAGACATTTTGTTGATAAGTGAAGGGACTAAAATCGTGACAAGTTTGACCGAAAGCATTCTGGGATGAAAGCTCAACAACAAAACACGTGAAAAGAAATGACAAAAATGGTAAAAGTTGTCGACAAAATTGACAGATTTTATTTTGCCTGCGACAAAAATTCCCGGGAAAGAGATTAGGATGTTACTTTTCCGTCGGTGTCTGCGGCGCTGTCAACATTTCACATTTTAACTCAAGAAGGATGTCTAAATTAAACCAAAATTTGTATAAAGTTAGGTTAAATAGTAAACACCTAAATACATTCTCCATTTATCATACATAAATTATATGAAATGTGTTCATACTATAGATTGATTTTAAAAAGTCAATAATGAAAACATCAGAATGCCTCGAAAAATATCCACTGACACAACCTCAAATTCGCTCACTTTAAATGGCCAACATGTGTATCAGAAACGTGAATGCACTTCCATTTCTGATGACTGACATCCTTAAATCACAGAAATTTCTGAGCTAGTTTAAAGTTCCCAAGTAGCACACTTATATTACATAAACTCACAATTGAACGGGAGCAGCATTTGATAAATGAAAATATAATCATGGTGCGAAAATGGTGGATATCTATTTACTTTTATATGTGCGCTATTTTTAAGGGGTTAGATTCAAGTTTTTTTTACTGTTTGGTCCTTTTTTCGTAAATAAGCCATGTTTCTTGGTTAACTTCCTTTTTATCAAACGACCTATTTAGATATGGTTATTTTTTCATCTGTAAATCTACAACTCGCTAGTTAATTCCAATCACACACGAGTCATAAAAAGTTATAATTTTTAAATAATAATTTTTCCAATATAAGATGTACATTTTTTGACTTCATTAGTTTAAAAGACATGGCCTATTATTAATGGTCGATTTTAATTCAATTGACACACGACAACAAACCACTAGCATTCGAGGATGGATTGATGGGTTATTTCATCATGTCTGGGAGGTTGTTTGACAGGTGAGATTGTGTTTTAACGAAAATTACACAAATTTGCCAATAGAATAAATCTAATATTTTATGGTGCATTGTTTTAATCACTGCATTTTTCGTTCGGATGCGGGACATGTTACCAACATCAATCTATTGTGCGGTCACAGTTCATGTAATACAGCTCAGACGACAAAATGGCCAGTCCAAAATACATAACGGTCCGAAACTGGTTTCAAGACGATAGATCTTTTCATTGTATTATGGAATCTTAACCCACGAAGTATATTAGGTAAAATATATTAGTATGAGTCAGGCAGTGCTTTGAAAGAACAGCGGTAATTCGGCAGAATTATTTTCTGAATTTACTTTAAAATTACGTTTAATAACATAAAAAAAACTGTTGAAATCCTAAGTTTTATATGTTGTAATGAATAAATTAATTTACAAAAATTCATAAAATCGCTATCATATCCGATGAAGTTTGGAACTACATTTCTACGCGGAGCAATTCTTTTGGCAAACTCAGCGTAACATCAACGACAGGTAAACAAAAATTGATCAACAAAACTACTGAAGTTTTGATTGCCTGATTTTTAATCAATGTTTCATGATAAATAGGATACATGAACAGCGTCATAAAATATAATCCGTATTTTGGCTGGGGACAGAAATGTCTTTCTTCACTTAGCGTGCGGGTAATTCGACAGAATTACTCAATGAATTTACTCAATAATACATTAAAAAATATGAACAGTTGTTGCAATACGCGATTTTACATGTTGTAATGAGCAAGTTGGTCTACGAAAAAATCATAAAATCGCTGTCATATCAGATGAAGTTTTTGACTATATTTCCGTGCGCAGCAATTACTTTGGTGTTCGTCATCGGCCAAAAATAGATTATTTCTCAAGGTCAGATAAACACACATTTAACTACAAAACTGTATAAGTTTCAATAGTCTGATTTTACATCAGTGTTGCATGATAAATAGAAAACCTGGTCAGAGTCGCAAAATTTATGCTGTATCTCCGCTCGGGACAGAAAGACAGAAGTGGCGCGTCACGGAGGCTCGCTACTTAGACAGTCTTTCTTCACCCTCGCCAAAATACATCTTCTATTCTAAGACCCTGACCATGTATTCTCTATTTCTCTATGAACAGCTAATGACAGGAATCTTTACCGCAGCACAAAACGGAACACTTCCGAACCGTTGATTGGATAAAAAAAATGTCTTGACCGTCTAAATATCGATGTCGTTTACGTAAAGGGACTAAATTCCCGTGTCCTATTCATTCAACGCAGCTTTAATCTAAGGCTTATATTGGTTGGTTTATTGGGTTGGTTGGCTGACAGGGTTTCGGTCTCCGCGATTCGTCGGGTATCGTCTCATTGACGGAACGTCAGTATTCTAGCTGGCAAAGTTTTTAAGTTTTAGTCACTTCCCGTTCACGAGATCGTATCCGGAAGGGCCGAAAAGTCTCGATGTTGTATTACACTCGCAATATTTTCCCCGTCTCCTAACTGTATTTGAACGCTTCTGTATTAGAACGTTTTTCTTTGGATATATTTGGATATTTATTTCAATTTACTATTGATGACGATAAGGGACAAAATATCCGGAATTTGTTTGTTTCTAAAGTTATATTTTATTTGACTCTCGTTTAGCTCTCGTACAGAGCGAGATTTGTAGCAGAGGATATTAAAATCATATCGACCAAGTTCGCTAATCTAGTATCAAGCCAGAATACACCGTAAATGTCTGACGTACGACAACGAACGAATCGAGGACAGGGGAGCGAGGCTGCTGAGGTGAGTTCTAAAGAGAATTTAGACATTTGAAGTTTTGTTATTCAAAATATAAGGTATTGTTTACAGTGACATGGTGGTTGGACTAGAACATCACATCGGCACATTGCAGATGTTTGTTTTGGATCGACGCAAGTGGTTACATGCACGGTTCTAAATTTCGCGTAGCATTTCTCTCTATTTGCTTTGTAATGTAAGTGTTATCTATATGTTGTACTATACTATCAATAGTGTTGTTTTAGATAGCGGTTTATTTTACACGTATCCGGGGTGGTTCATGTCTATAAATAGAACAATATTATGCTAACCAGAGTCACGACCTGTTGTGTTTTGGCTGGTGACCAATGCCCTGCAACATGCATATATTAGCATGCTTATTAAAAACTTGTTGCATGGACCAAAGGATAACTTATTTTATCTTAGCAAGGTTTCTTTCACTTTTTATTAACAGTAATAAATTGTATGAATTTATAATAATAAATTACATTTGAAATATAAACTCTTCTTTTCACTGGAGATGGATTTCTCCCTAACGTTTCCATTAAATATTTCCCAATGTCAAAATGCATCTTTTTTGGTTTCCTGTTAACATTTGATACTTTCAAACATTGTTTTCAAAGCTTTTGCACAGTACATGTAGACATAATATTTGATTATCTATATACCATTAGTCCTTAAAATAGTTAATATTTATCTTTTATGTGAAGTCATTACAATTATTAATTCATAATTGTAAATACAATATAATGGCATGTTGCATACCTGGTATTATATTTTTTTTCCACTCTTGTTTGCTAGTTCCTGGTTAACAAACAGTTAAGCCTAAGGCAGAAAACAAGTTTGGCATGTCCTTAGAAAGTGACAACTGGTGTCATGCTAAAGATGGATTATGATTTATTTGTGTACAACAGATATGAAATAAACAGGAAGTGAAAAATGTACTTGTTAAAACAGATTAATGCAAAGATAGATGATTAGCATATGTAATTTGTAATCACTGTTGCTTTAAAGTTCTTGAAAGTATTTGATCTTTTAAATTATAACAAAAGCAAGTTTGATGAATTGTTCAGGTCATTTTAGCTATTAAGTAAAATTAAAAAAGAAAAAATGAACCTTGTTTATTTTACAATATAAATAATGCATGATCGCTATATAATTTGGTAATATTGTTTATACATATATCAATTTACAATTGAATAATATGCTAAACATATGATATAGTTAATTTTGAACAAGAGAGGTGTTATGAGGAAATGGAATAGTTATGGGAAACAATTTGATTTCCCGTAGTTGTTTCCTTCTAAATATGTGTGTCTATTGTCTAATATGTATGTTACTGCTCATGAGGAAATGGAATAGTTATGGGAAACAATTTGATTTCCCCTAGTTGTTTCCTTCTTAATATGTGTGTCTATTGTCTAATATGTATGTTACTGCTTGACATACAGTTACAATACATATTCTTTCTGAAATAACAATTTGTTTGCCCATGTAATATTTTATCCTGAAATGTTATACCATATCGTTCCTGCATAAGTACAGGGGACTAACACAAAACATTGAACAGGAAGGCAGTTAATTCTAAGGCTTAAATGATGAAAGGGTAAATTATATGTTCACAGTCTAAACTGAAATTGCTATGAATGGGCTTATTACTAGATATGGGTATATAACCAGATAGATACGTTCGATGTGTACACATTATAGGCATGATTTTTCATTCCAATTTATATAATTATATAGGAAGACAAATGATGAGATAACAGACACAGTCTATCTTCTCCCATGTACACAACAGGTAACATATTTTGCAGGCTGTAAACGACACCTGAGTATAAGCCATCTGCTGGTTTTTAGCAATTTTTTCAATTTTATCCACATGAAAGACATGCCAGGATATAAGCCGCACCCTTTCTTTAGATGTGGTAAATGGTATGTTGACCAAAGTTTGTTGATATAACAGACAATGGAAGCAATTTATTAAGATCGTCAGCTAAAGATTTAATATAAGTTTGCAAATGAATTAAACACAGACAGTCCTTTATTTTATTGATGTGTTTGAAAAACTCGAAATAGCAATTATCAAACTTGTTTGGCTTGGGAGCCTTCAAAGATTGTCTACGCAAAGATATAGGGCCTGATGTAACGTACAGTTTACTTTACAATATCGCCATCAGTGTCTGTACGGTTAAATATTAGTGAAGGTCCTTGCATGCTGACAAAATTGCTATAGTCTCATATTTTTTCTGGTAAGTTACACAAAGCTATTCTTATCGTAAATAAGAATGGCAGTTGTTCTAGATTTGACCTATTGATCCCAGAATGCAACAGGCTATTGTAAGCATTCTCTATGACTTTCGAAACAACCACGGAAGTTCCGAAGATATTGTAATTGTCGATGATTCTTCTGACATATATATTTGTATGACTAACTCGCGTTACACTCTATTCCCTATAGATGAGTAACCAGCATTGCATCAGCAAAAATGAATTTCGTTTCACAAATATAGCAAGTGTTTAATACTATCGCAATAATAGCAAATTTTTTAATTTGAATTACAAACATGGCAATTATTCATTATAATCAAATGTAATCTAGGTTCACCTGACTAGTGTTCTAGCACAAAATATGTTTTTGCTGTTTTAATCTGAATACTTGTAAACAGTTTCAATTATTGTTGTGTGAACTTAAAAGAGCCATGTCATGAACATTTTCAGCTATATTAGATTCACCTGCAGTTATTGGCAGATATTGACAGAAGTTGGAGGAACCTAGATTCAAACTCTAAAGGAGTTGCTATGTGAAAACTTTTCAGGAACTTCTGTTCATTTTGACTGTTGTCACACACAACAGGATTGGCTGAGCAGTCATCTGCTGGATTCAGAATACCACATTAGCTAGAGATCTTATTAGGGGAAGAAAAGTGTCCGTACACTCCATAATTATCATGGACAAATTGATTGTTTGTTTGAATGAGAAATGAAAATATAACAACTATTCAAGCACTGTTCTCATTTGAGCACTGGTCTTGTTAGTCTGTTAGAGGCAGCAATAACTCTATTTACATTGGGCTTCATTTGTCTTAGGAGAAAAGTAAGGATTAATATCAACAATCAGGTGGCTAATGCTTATAAAACAAGTTCAAGTATAAATTTAAAAAAACTGGAATAAGGACAATATAGAAGAAGTAAACTATTCCAAATTTTGATAATGATGACCACAAATAAAGGCTATGTGATATAGGGATAAATGATCAGCAAATTTATTTCTTGATTCATGTTACTAGTGTTGTTTCTTAACTGGTAAAGGATATTGAATTTTCTGAAACTACAGATTTTGAATGAATTAAAAGCATCTCTATGTAGTTTGAATGTTCTTACATTATTTAACTTGTATTTGAAAATATGGAGTGATTTAGATGAGTTTATTGATTGATCAAAAGAATTTTAAATTTTAATTATAACTGGGGGAAACTAGTAGGAAAATTTGTGTATCAGAGATTATGAAATTGAATATTATTTTTGATATTGGGTTTAAAAACATCATAAAAATGTTCTAGAGTCACATTTCAAAGTTTTATACATTGAAATAAGTTTTTGTATTGATGCCTTATAGAGAGGTTCCATACAGTTTCATTATAAAGTTTTGGACGTGATGTTCCACTTAACATTCCTTTGACAATTTTCATGTCTACAGTTCAAACAGTTTCAAACAAATTAATTAATCAAATATGAAAGTACAATTATTCCAAAATACATTTGTATATTAAAGAATAGAATGTAGCTATGATCAGTGTATGTGTGCTTCAGTTCTATGTTTGAAACATGAAAGGATAGTTGTATGTGATATGTGATCATTTTCACTCCCAGATGGAAAATGTATCATATCATGTTCAGCAGCGTTTAGCCTAAGTTGAGCCTTGTAATTTTATCCTTGAGAACTGACATTCAAGGATTCCTGAACTGGCAAATGTCCTATAATTGCAACAGTTTACAACATATACAGTTTTAAGTATATATCTGCATGTATTGTGATACATGTATTAGTACAAAAATAAATGTACCTTTGTTAATGTCATACAATAAAAGGCATGCCTGAATGACAACAATTTATTGAAATTATATCCAGTTTCATGTGAAACTACCAGTAATTATAACCTTTTGCAATTCCAAACCCTTTATTCTAGGAATATAACCTTTAACCTTAGAGATAAGCTTCAAATTAAAAGCATTCAAGTGGACTCACTAAAATTGATTGTAGTTTTAAAAGTAAACAGAAAAAGAGCATAAAAGTTTGTTTGTAATTATATTTAAAGAAGTTCTTCAACTGTTTTTAGACTCAAATAACAGAGAGTGAGTTCTTTGGAGTGCTATCTTTATCCTATTCAGTGTCTTCCTGCTTTTGTAGTTCCAAAATCAAATGCTTCCATCTGTTTATGTTACAGGAGTATGTGCTATTATTGATATGTGTAACCCTGGTAATTGTTACCCCTAACATATCACATGTTTAGAGAACTTCATTGATTGAGCTTAAGACTATTAAACCAGATGTTTCAGGTTTATCCCTGGCAGAGCTATTGAAATAAATGATGATTTCTCTTACATACAAATCTTACTATCATGTGTTGGACTATGATAACCAGTTTGAATTGCTAGCATCCTATCTGATGAAAATATAACATTTTAGTGTTATATGACTGGTAAGTTGAATCTGATGGACACAAAATACTGGGTATTAAAGTATGAATTTTGAAATAGAAATAAAATAGCATGTATATCATATTGGTCATCAGGAGTTTGCTATTGATAGAGACTTTTTCACTTCAAATATCAAAGAGTTTATTGGTCACCTCGAGGTCATCTTGCTGAAGCAAGGTTTTAATTACCACCTATGCAGGCATACATAGATATTGATTGACCACACTACTTATATACAGGAAAATGCCAATATAATCAGGTAGTGACTGGTCACACATTCCTAAGCTCTTCTTGCATGATCCAATTATACTGCTTATGTTGCTGAGTAGGATTGCTCAGCTTCATCCTCTGCTAGGTAGTGTAGGTCAATACTTCTGGTGTAAACTATCTACCAGTATTAATCAGGCTTGTACTCTATGTATATATCATCCCAGTGAAATTATATCTACAACATTATTGTTGGAAATATACATACATTGTAATATCTGTCAGAATAAAAATATCTAATGAAAGAGAGTTAGATGTTGCTGAAATAATTGATAGAAAAATTGTGGGAATGACTACCAACAGCAGATAATATCATAGTGCCACAGTTTTCTTGTGATTTTTAGGCTAAATCTAATTTAGTTACTGTTTCAGTCTGTTGTTACAGCCCCTAGAAATGGAGGTCACTACCAATCATAGCTTTCTGATTGATGCATATTTTCCAACGAGTTCTAAATCATGCACATCACCTAGTGACACAGTTTTATGCTTAAAATAATACAGTGATCCTTTCTAAACGGTGTTAGGTATGCATACGATCATGATTAAACAAGCAATTATTAAAGTGAAAAACTTGCCAAAAGTGGCAGACTAGGTGTTCCTGATACTATTTAGATTGAGATTCACATCAATCACGAACTAGCATTGCTCTTGATCCTGGTTTGAAGTTAATTATCCAAGACAGGACAATATGGCACAAAGCACAGGACTATGGGATCACTGTCATCTATTCTTAGTGATCTACTGGTATATCCAAAATTTGTCATTATTGACAACCAGTGACAGTAATCGCTGTAAAGAATTTCCAGAAAATATTAAAAAAACAATGATTAATATAGTTAGCAACATCAAATACATCTTTTTACTAAGTTTCATGTTGATCTCTAACATTGACTGAGTTGTGGAGAGTTCAGTTTTCCTTGATTGTTGTGGTGTAATTATACATTAGATATCACACTTGAGAGTATCATCATCAAACTATATCTAGATATATCTAGAAATACTAATTAACATTAATGACATCAAAAGATATGTCCTTAATGTGATTATAATACATTGATATATAAAGTTTCAGTTTCATGACGGAACAAAATACCCTGGTTATGATGATTTTACTCCAATGGTGTCAATAGCTTGGCACATGTGTGTTTGTTTTATACAAATACAGTAGCGTAGGTTATGGTGAAATGTCTTCATATACTGTTGCCTAAAATACTCTTAAGAAGTTAACAACATCAAAAAATACATATATGTATATGCATCTATATTTAATTCTTACATGGATTGTTGATATGATCATAACATATTAATGTACCTGGACTAGGTTTCATGTTGATATTTGTAAAATTGGTTGAAGTAATGGAGAGGTAAATTTTCTTCGATTGCTGACAGTACACTTGTGTATCACACTTGAGAGCAGTGTTATCCTAGTTTATACTTTGTTTTAATGGGGAATAAAATCAATGACAAGAAACAATTATCATTTATCAGAGATGTCTAAAACACATCTCTGGTTTAATATTCCTCATCACATCATGTATATTTGTCCCTAAGTTTATTATTTAAGAAATGTTGCTGAATAAACAAGTCTAGATCTATTTGGTATTGGAAAAACATCTAGTAAAAAACCCTAAATTAATTGGGAGTTTCAGCTTTGCCTACTCAGGTGTATATCATTGTTCCTTTTAATAAAGTTATTAAATTGTTAAGAAAACATCCAAAGATCTGGTATGTATAAGATATCCATACAGAACATGTCTGTAAGTCCCAATGTATACCTGTCACAGATACACTATGTCAGGGATGAGATAGCCATACAGAACATGTCTGTAAGTCCCAATGTATACCTGTCACAGATACACTATGTCAGGGATGAGATAGCCATACAGAACATGTCTGTAAGTCCCAATGTATACCTGTCACAGATACACTATGTCAGGGATGTTAGCATGAATCTGAGCTGCATTCAAAAAGTACAAATCATCAATGATAAAAATTAAAGTATTAGTAACATATCAGTCTTATCTGTTATTTATTAATTTCTTCTGTAATGCATCTAGTGAGAAAAATGTTCGTGTGTGGTAGGATCTGTAGCATAAAAATGTGCCGATGATGCAATACGAAAGCATTATTGAGGTTAGGAAATAATCCAGACTGGTTAAATACACTTGTCTGTTTATCAGTATTGGCAACATAATTGATACCATATGTATAATGATAAGAAAAATTAAAATATCCTTGCTAATTATTATTTATAAATTGTTTGTATAGCCTCAGGGCAAAGAGGATGTGCCCAGGACCCCTGGGAGTGAGGATGAAGATGAAGACATGCTGAATGTAGGGGAAGTGGCAGATACCTCTTCCCTTCCACAGGCCTCTGACAAGACAACGGGTGCCCTTGATTCAGCCCTCAAAGATCTTTCTCCAAGGTATTTGTTTTATTCAGAATACAGTAAATATTTAGTTGCCATAAATTTATTATCTATTTTAATAAAGACAACATAGAAGAAATGTTGTAAACCATATCTGCTCTGAATTTATTAATCTGACTGGTTTTGAATTTGTCTTCTGGTTTATTTTCTAACTTCATATTGCTAAATAACAATGTTCTTCATGCTTAATGTGCTCATTTGTTTTCATTTATTTGTTGGATAAATGAGTAAAATATATTTATCTGGTAAGGTCACCAATCTGTGCCTGAATGTAATATTTCAGCCATTGGTGTCGTATTATGTTATGTTTGGTATAAAAACCTATAAAATTTGGTATAAAATTTTGACTCTGTGAAAATCAACAGAAATTTTTCAAATTCAACAATTATGTGTCATAACTGACCTCCAACACAAAGAGCTGTGTACTTGAAAATTCTGTACTTGGTTTATTGTACAAACTTGATTCTCTGAGCAGAAAAGTAGTGAGTGTAAAATTCTTAAGAATCCTGAAACATTGTGTTTTTAACCAGTAACTGATGCAGTAAGTCAGGTTCAAAGGAAAATATCAACCCCTCCCTTAAACTTAACCAAATGATATTTTTAGAGCTGAAGAAAATCTTGTAGTAAAACTTCATGAATGTGTGATGGATTATAAGGTAGAAGAAAGTACATCAGATATACATATATGTATATTACACAGATTCTTACCAAGCATGAAAGGTAAAGATCAAAGCAAAGAATCAAAGATCAAATAATTGGTTTGCTTGTTGAAGCTACATCTTAATAGATATATATATCCTGAATGTCACAGCAAGGAATCTTCATTGGAAAATGTTTCAAAAGCTAGAATTTCAGATTACCACTATACCTAGGTAATACTTGTCAAAGAGATCATTTCTAGGCCCTAGTTGATGAGACTTTTGTTTATGATAGCTTTATGTGTCAGGTATTTCACACATCGATCATATCAAAATAAAATTTTTACTCGGATAGATGTCCATAATCATTGAATATATCCCAAATCAGCACTGATTTTTTTACTTGTTAAAATAGGTCTACAAAAACCAGGAGGACTCCTTAAACCATAAGTTTTCTACTGATGAATTAAGTGATATTTATCAATTGCATGGGAATGCCTTATTAGGACAGGTACTAGTGGTAAATTAGAGACAGTCTTTATCAGAAATACCTGTGAAATAAACTGTTTTGTTATTACAGATGGAGGAACTGGGTAGTGCGTGGAATCTTCTCCTGGGTGATGATATTTGGATTTGGATTCATGATATACCTTGGTCCTCTGGCTCTGGTTGTTGTGGTAAGTAATGATTTCTAATTGCAAGTGATTCCTGAAAGTTTTATTTCACCTTTTACAAATTACTGTAAACCTTCAGATTTCACCAAGATATTTTAAGAGTATGAAACATCTCTAAACCTTTATTTTTTCTTTAGATTCATAATTAAGTTGTCATTATATTAAAAAGACATACCATTCTTTTTTTGAAAAGCCATGAAAATGAATCATGCCTTAGCCTTGTTTAAACTGACTTAAGTCTTCTTTAGGTCATAAAGTATAGATTTTTAGACATACTATCAGAATCTAGTTCCTGGTTCATGTGTCCCTAGGGTACCTGACTGTATTTCTTATCTGTGTGAATGTCCCTTGGGTATACATGTATTTGGTAAATGGGTGGGGACCTCATTAATAGAGGGTAGGGTATATGATTGAGTACATGACTGCTTGTATACCCTCAGGTGTGTCAGGTACTACCTGGTTATTTACACCTTCTGTGCCTGTAGACTGTATGATACACTAATGATAGTGAATACAGGTGGAAACAGACTGGGATTTACCTGTCAGTAAGATAGTACAGATGATACACTTTTGTCCTATAAGTGGATATACTAAAGAAGTAGAGAGGATAGATATTATGTATAGTTCTATTATTTACTATTGAAACTTAATACAGAATATAGAACTCTAAAGATGGATGAACAATTTGTACTTCCTCGTACCTTATGTGTGACTTGTGCTGTAGACATCAGTGTGGCATATTGCATGTTTCTCTTACATGCTCAGGTGAGGTTATCATTACATGTATCAAATTTATATGATATTTTTTGTTCAACTTTGTATCACTGCAGATAGTGCTCATGATATTTCTTTCAGATGTTGTTTCACATTTATATCTGTCCATCCATTATAGACTTTTATCTGTCAATTTGTCATCCTTCTGACTTATATATCCCATCTATTTATCAGACTTTCTTTTGTTGTAACTTTTGCTAATTTTCCCATTTCTTCCATAACCTTTCATTTGTTCATCCCTTTGCCAGACTTATTGTCCTTCCCATTCCAAGCTAGTTATCAGTCCAACCCTTTGTCAGATTTATTGTCCTTTCCATTCCAAGCTAGTTATCAGTCCAACACTTTGTCAAATTTATTGTCCTTCCCATTCTAAGCCAGTTATCAGTCTATCCCTCTGCCAGACTTATTGTGTTTCCCAATCCAAGCCAGTTATCAGTTCATCCCTCTGCTAGACTTATTGTCCTTCCCATTCCAAGCCAGTTATCAGTTCATCCCTCTGCCAGACTTATTGTCCTTCCCATTCTAAGCCAGTTATCAGTCTATCCCTCTGCCAGACTTATTGTCCTTCCCATTCCAAGCCAGTTATCAGTCCATCCCTTTGTTAGACTTATTGTGTTTTCCAATCCACTTCTGTTATCTGTTCATCCCTTTGCCAAACTTATTCATTCGGCGAAGAGTCCGTCAATTTCCCATCCCTGATAACACCTGCAATGTGCAGTGTTTGGCTTCCATTCCTGACACATCTTGAATAACAATCCTGAATAAGATTGACCTGAACTGGGACGAAGAACCATCTAATTTCCTTTTCAAATATATGTTCAAATGTGTGGTAAATTCCAGGGCTATCAAGATTAGCATCCAAATGCATTTACTACTTAGTCAAGCAATTATTGAAGGGCATGTGATTAAAATTTTCAAGGTATTAAGTAAGGAGATCTTAAAATAGAATGAATATATGTGAATGGTATTAAGTCTATATATCTCATTTGAGAGTGACCTACAGCAATCAAACCAGATCCATCAGGGCCTCTTTCTTAGCTCTAATAAAGTACTTAATTCATAATTAGCATTTGCTTTAAATAACAGAGGTTAGAAAGATTCCTGCAACATTTTGGAGTTGAATAATGTGGTTGTTGAGTCTGGTGAGTATTAAAGTAATTACCAAGAGTTGTCTGAGCCTAAGACACACTTGAATGTTGGGTGATGTATACAAGAACATGATGTAGACTAAACAGTCTTGGGTCATGTTTCATGTTACTATACTAAGTCAGTATGTTATAACTCATTCATGTTATAGCATGTACAAGTGTGGTTATTAATATGTATATATTCTAGAACAAGGTCTGTAATGTGAAAAAAAATCACTGAAGGGTTATATTTTCTAAATAATTCCATGCTCATGTAGTTTTATATGGAAAGGGAAACATCTAAAAATTACAAATTACTTAAAAACTTCAGTAATGTCTCCCAGCATGAGGTAGGTTCTATTCTTATTTGTCTATATGCCCACATTTAGTTTGTATTTTGCTAATGTTGGCGAACTCTTGAGATTGCATTTTATGTTTGCAGGTCAAAGGTCATGTGTAAATGTTAGTAAAAGTGGAATAACAGTCACTTTTTGGTTTCTGTGCAATAATGTTATATTCGTACTTGGTCTTTCAGGCCCATATATTAGGTACATACTGTCAGGTTGTTTGTGGGGATTGTTTGCATAGGATTACTGTTCTAGTCCATTTGTGAAATGTCATGTGATCTGTTACTAAAATTAAATTACAGTCATACTTAAGTTTCATTTCAGTAATTTCTGCTCTTATGGACAATTCAGGTGCTATATGTAATACACATGTTGCTTGTGTTGAGGGGTCACATGGGAAATGCTCTTCAGGTCAACAGTCATGTGATTTGCTCCCGACAATAGAATTAAACTTTCTTACATCTTTTCTCAGAGATTATCCTTCAAATATGATGTAGGTCTTCAACCAAGCTGAGGTTTCTGATTTCTTAAATTAAAAAGAATTATCTGAATTTGATAAATTTCTGTATTTAAGTGTACAAAGTCTAGTGAATGGGGTTTGTTGCATAACAACCTGGCTCTGGCATCTGTTTGGTTGAAATGGCATACTATGAGCTATTGCTTCATTACAAAAATTGGAATCTTTCTCATAGGGGAGATATTACTTTGATTATGACAATTACAATCTGTATTTCAAATATTATTTCATTGCTCAAAAATTTTCTTCTTTTGACAAAACAACCATTGTTGATGAATGGTCTGACTGTCATCTACATTAAAGTATTGTAGATTCCAAGCTTGTTTTGGGTAATTTTTAACTGTATATTAGTCTGGCGTGCATTGGGCATATGTATCAACAAAGTAGAGATAAAGGTATATTTGCTGTCACTGTGACCTGATCGCTCCCAGCCAATTACTGATGTCTGTTGCAAGGTCAAAGCCACTCATGGGCCATCACCACTCATTACTATGTGTGTTGATAGTAAAGGGTATTAGCAGTGGTGTAGGTGTTTATATTGTGTTATCTATACATTCTTCTGTCTGCCGATATTTCACACTCTGTACTGTGTACATGATACCACTGATAATGTGGTTATTCAATTCAGGATATCAATAAGTCAACAAATTAAACATGCAGAATTTTTGTTCCAGAATAATAGGTCAATGTTTCTGTTTTTTTGTTGTATACAGCTATGTAATATCTTTTGAAGGAATGACCATGAAGTTAATAAATGGAATCACATAAAGTCCTCTCACAAACTTTATGCTCTGTCATTTATATTTTTTATTGCAATGTATTTGGCTAATTGTTGTTTTTTTTTCGGTTAAGGTGTATGTATATCTTGTGATTGGATTTTCAGATTGTCAAATAAAAACTTCTATATTTTTGCACAGTTTTGACTACTATGATTTCTTCTGTATATCTTTTAAACAAATTATTGATTCACAGAAAAATAGTTCTACCAGTGATAAGCATCCAAGAACACAACATGAAATCTCTAATGTCTCATTGTTTGTATTTTGTCAATTACTATCATTCTAGGCAATTTCTTAAACACATTCACATCTGCTAAATTTTCATCTAAGTGTTGATCTTTCCTGTGATAGATAGTTCCCATCTTCACAGTTTCATATAGGATAAAATGATAATAAAATTTATATTAAGAATAGATACAATATCCTTGGCATCCATTGTCATGTTGTTTTACTATTGTGACAAATTATTGGTAAAATTATTGTGATTTAATTATTATCAATCTTGATGAAGAAAAAATAAGCATTAACTAAATTTTGTAAAATAAATGGTTTTGAAGTTCAGTTAGGAAGATTTCATAAACTTTGTATATGGATGTGTCACTTGTATGACATCACACCTTTTGATTGCTGATTTTTAAAATACATGAATCTGAGCTTAGCAGTATACATATAGATAGATGGTTGTTATTGGCAAATTTATATTAAAAAAAATTTCTTCCAAAATTTGATTCAAACCAGTCTATGATTTTGTTCTTACAGTGCATTATTTTATAAATACTAAAAATCCCTCTGTCATGTGTCATTCGTATTTAGCATTTTATAGGGGGTATCCATGTATGGCATTATTCTAACAATGGTTACATTTGAATTTAATTCTAGCAGTAAATGCCATTATTGATTTTTTTCCTTTTTCAGATTTTTGCGATCCAGATAAAGTGCTTCCATGAAATCATCACAATAGGCTATGTGGTTTATAAATCGTTCGACCTGCCATGGTTCCGTTCTCTCAGCTGGTACTTCTTGCTAGTGTCAAACTATTTCTTCTATGGAGAAAGTCTCATTGACTACTTCGGAGTGCTCCTTCATAGAACGGTATGTAGCTAACTTGCTTTGAAGCTATGCTGTATAGCTGTACGTAGCTCTTAAGATTGTAGCTTCTCCATAGAACCTTATGTAGCTACCTAAATTTGAAGCTTTATCATAGAACAGCACATAGCTTTCCAGATTTGGAGATTCTTTATAGAACTATATGAAGCTATCTAAATTTGAAGCATCTATTCAAATTGCCCTATGTCTTTGGTCCATCATCCTTACGTTAACAGTCTTTTATTATCACTATTTCTTGGGAAGTACTGGATGGATCTTGCCCAAATTTCATATGTAGGTTCCCCTTCGTCCCTTCTTGTGCCCGTTTGATTAAGGGCTTGTCAGAATAGCAAAATGGTCGACAGGCCGCCATCTTTGGTTTTTACAAACAATGAAAGTTTGTTATTGTTATTTCTTGAGAAGCACTGGATCTATTCTTCTCATATATCATATGTAGGTTCCCCATGGTCTCTAGCTGTACCCATTTGATTTATTGTTTATTAGAAAAACAATATGGCGGACAGGTGGCAACCTTAAATTTAACACTGAAAGTTTGTTTTTATTATTTTGTTAATTATTTGATTTAATGGATTTCTGTCAGAATTGGTATGTAGGTTCCCCTTGGTCCCTAGTTGTATGTGATTGATTTAGGGACTGATCACCAGAAGAAAATGGCTGACTGGCAACCATCCTGGATTATGACAAAGAAAGTTTGTTATGACAATTATTTGAAAAGTACTTGATGGATCTTTCTCAAATATCAAATACTGATTAGGGAAACAAGATGGCTGACATCTGGCCATCTTGGAATTCAACATTGAAAGTTTGTTATTGTTATTTCTTGAGTAGCACTGGATGGATCATTTTCAAGTTTAATTTGTAGATTTCTCTTTGTCCTTTGTTGTACTTGTTTGATTTTGGGACTGATCAGAGATGGAATAAGGCTGACAAGCCACCATCTTGAATTTGGAAGTTAAAAGATTACTATCTGTATTTCTTTGGAGAAATGTTCAAATTTTGTATAAAGAGCAAAAAACAGGAGAGAAGAGAAAAGAAGGGAAAATCTAACTTTGAAAGAACAAATAAACACCAAACAAGGGTGGGCACCAAGATCCCTCTGGCATCTCTTGTAAACAAATATGTTGCTGTAGGAATACCTTATCCTGCTTTGATCAGAGGAATTGATAAGTGTCTTGATGTATTAGAGAACTGGATGCAAATTTGAGTTTTGAAGGGTACATGATTTAAGATATAGTGTTTGTTATGAATAGTGGTATTCCCAAAAATCACATGTCAGCAATTGATAGCAATGAAATTGAAAAATGCATTTATGGTAAGTATTATATATAGTCATTGAGTCTGTAGATACTTGTATGACAGTGTGTGAGCGTAAAGAAACCAATCTGGAGAAAATATGTGTAAATATCATTAAAGCCAGTCAAATCTGATTATGTTTTTGGTTTCTTTTCCAGGAATTCATGCGTCCCTTTGTGACCTTTCACAGGTTCATATCTTTCTCCCTTTACATAGCAGGCTTTGTGGCATTTGTCTGCAGTCTAGTCAAAAAACATTACCTGAAGCAATTTACACTGGTGAGTGATGAATTTTAAAACCATTTAATAAACAAAACAATAAACTATCTTGATGCCAGATTTCACTAATTCTGAGAATTGATTTAAAGGCTGTCCTGTTCCTGCTTAATGCTTTTATTTTACTGGATCAAATGTAAACTGTTCTGTTTTACACCAGAAACATGCTTGTATTTTTGTAGTTTGGATGGACACATGTGACTCTACTCATAGTCGTCACACAGTCTCACCTCATCATGCAGAACATCTTTGAAGGACTTGTATGGTATGTTTGACATCAGCATTAAATGTTTACGGTATTTAGTATTGTAAGTACATTGTATAGTAGTAGTGGCTAAGTGGTCTGGAAATAGACAGGTTGCTCCACTAAGAAACTTTCAGGTATTGTAAATGTGCTTCTATTTTGTTGTTTGTATTATAGACTAATATTTTGTTGTTGTGAATCCTACTTTTGTGTTATACAGACCAATGTTTTGTTGTTGTGAATCCTACTTTTGTGTTATACAGACCAATGTTTTGTTGTTGTGAATCCTACTTTTGTGTTATACAGACCAATGTTTTGTTGTTGTGAATCCTACTTTTGTGTTATACAGACCAATGTTTTGTTGTTGTGAATCCTACTTTTGTGTTATACAGACCAATGTTTTATTGTTGTGAATCCTACTTTTGTGTTATACAGACCAATGTTTTATTGTTGTGAATCCTACTTTTGTGTTATACAGACCAATGTTTTATTGTTGTGAATCCTACTTTTGTGTTATACAGACCAATGTTTTGTTGTTGTGAATCCTACTTTTGTGTTATACAGACCAATGTTTTGTTGTTGTGAATCCTACTTTTGTGTTATACAGACCAGTGTTTTATTGTTGTGAATCCTACTTTTGTGTTATACAGACCAATGTTTTGTTGTTGTGAATCCTACTTTTGTGTTATACAGACCAATGTTTTGTTTTTGTGAATCCTACTTTTGTGTTATACAGACCAATGTTTTGTTGTTGTGAATCCTACTTTTGTGTTATACAGACCAATGTTTTGTTGTTGTGAATCCTACTTTTGTGTTATACAGACCAATGTTTTGTTGTTGTGAATCCTACTTTTGTGTTATACAGACCAATGTTTTATTGTTGTGAATCCTACTTTTGTGTTATACAGACCAATGTTTTATTGTTGTGAATCCTACTTTTGTGTTATACAGACCAATGTTTTGTTGTTGTGAATCCTACTTTTGTGTTATTGTTGTTGTGAATCCTACTTTTGTGTTATACAGACCAATGTTTTATTGTTGTGAATCCTACTTTTGTGTTATACAGACCAATGTTTTATTGTTGTGAATCCTACTTTTGTGTTATACAGACCAATGTTTTATTGTTGTGAATCCTACTTTTGTGTTATACAGACCAATGTTTTGTTGTTGTGAATCCTACTTTTGTGTTATACAGACCAATGTTTTGTTGTTGTGAATCCTACTTTTGTGTTATACAGACCAATGTTTTGTTGTTGTGAATCCTACTTTTGTGTTATACAGACCAATGTTTTGTTGTTGTGAATCCTACTTTTGTGTTATACAGACCAATGTTTTGTTGTTGTGAATCCTACTTTTGTGTTATACAGACCAATGTTTTGTTGTTGTGAATCCTACTTTTGTGTTATACAGACCAATGTTTTGTTGTTGTGAATCCTACTTTTGTGTTATACAGACCAATGTTTTGTTGTTGTGAGACCAATATTATGGTAATACAGACTATAAGGAAACTTTCGTTGTGAGGTCTAGACCTACTTTTAGTATTATACAGACTATAATGATAATGGTTTGTGATTGTGACACCAATATAATTGTTATACAGTATATAACTAGTACTGTTTTGCTGTTTTTAGGCTCCTCGTTCCAGTATCCATGATCATCTGTAACGATATCATGGCTTACATGTTTGGATTTTTCTTTGGTAAAACACCACTGATCAAACTTTCACCTAAGAAGACATGGGAAGGCTTTATAGGAGGGGCTGTGTCTACAGTTTTCTTTGGCATTGCAGTAAGTAGACTTTATTTTACAACAGATCTCACCTCATCATAATACATATACTTTCAATTTAAAGATAATAAATCATGTATACATATAACTGACACACTTATGTAGAGACCATTATGTATGATCATGAGTTTGAATACTAAACAATAGGTTTAAAGAAAGTGTGTATTTTAGTGAAAGATTTATGTCCATTTGTATATTGGGATCATAGTGTTAAATTGATATATTTTGAATCTGTATGACATAATACATCATACTTCTACAATGACTGATGATTCCATTCTAAAAAATAAATAAGTACCATAAAAAAATATTTGTAATGATTATAGAGGCTTTGTTAGAATGATTAGAAACAGTTGCCGTTGAGCGAAAATGTTATGTCAGGTTATAATAGTATTATGGAGCATGTTATTAACTTGATATTTGTACTCTCATTTCAGCTGTCATATTTCCTGGTTCAGTATGACTCCATGGTGTGTCCAATTTCTTATGACGAAGTCAAAGACACAATGTCCATGGAATGTGAACGTCACCCAGTGTTTGTCTTGTCAGAGTATGGTATTCCTGCCACTATACAGACATTCTTGTCCATTGTATGTACCTGAACGAACTTTCTTCTTTAATATGATACTTGAGAAATGTAGTAAAATTGAAGTTACTGACAGGACTTTTCTCCTTAGATATATATATATATGGATGTGATTTTCATATTGTCACATATTTCATTTGTATAATACGGTTAGTAATGAATGAACAGTACTACTTAAATCAGAGATTCTACCAAGGCACTTGTCATGAAATATCATGTCCTTGGTTGACCAAATTATAAGTTATATTATGGAGTAAAAAAGAGTAAAACATACAAAATGTTCTGCCATATTTTCAGAATGATTCTTCAGGTTATTGTTACTAAATATTGCCAACTCTAAAATTGGATTATCTGGATAGGTGTGTATAGATATTGATATTGATTATTGTAAGATATTGTGAACAGTTGATCATATCACAGTGTTATGGCATCTGATTGTCAGCATGTTGTTTTCCTTACAGTTTGGCTTCCCCCAGACCACGATAAAGATCTACCCTTTCCTACTCCATTCAATCTCAATGTCTCTGTTTGCATCTGTCATTGGTCCATTTGGTGGATTCTTTGCAAGTGGATTTAAGAGAGCATTTAAAATCAAGGTTAGTATTTTTACTTTCATCTTTACTCATCTTTAGTAAGTTAAGATGTTAACTTAGTTGAAACTGTAGATGTCACTGTGCATGAACCAAATTCTTTGTCATAATTCTCATTTTCTAAATCATTTTTAAAATTGATACAAAGCATTATTAGACACCTGAAAAGTGATTAACCTTCCTGAAGTTATTGACCTACTGTCTGGGGACTGTAATTTCATTTGGTTTGCAAGTATATTGATGTTCTGTTACAGGATTTTGGAGACACGATTCCCGGACATGGCGGAATCATGGATAGATTTGATTGTCAGTTCCTTATGGCTACATTTGTACATGTCTATTACACAAGCTTTATCAGGTAAGTCAACTGTCTCCTTATTACCTAGGGTAGCCTTACAATCCTATTTGAATGTTTGAAGTGAAGTGAATTAAAATAGCATGATTTTCTGGTAGATATAATAATAAAACAGTTTATCAAATTTGTTGATGTCAGGCTGAATAGAGCTGTAGTTGTCTGTCTAATACAGGCAAATATCGGGTATAGAAATGAAATTGAAATCTGAATAGAGTTGTAGCGGGGGTTTTATTTAGATCAATATCGGTATAGATGTAACAGATGTCATTATTTATTTCAATGCCTCCATTAGAATTCGAACCTGGGACCTCTTGCTTACAAAACAGATCGATCTAAAGAGAAGTTTTCTCTACCCAATCCGTATTTTGCAGCTAGTATTTTAACAGGGGTATATACTCACCCTCTAGGAAGTAACTCATCCTAGAGTTTTCAGGGGTTAAAAGATGTCTGTTGGACATTGCTAAGTATTATTCACAAGTACCTACGTGGGTGTCAATGTAACAGAGGCCATTATCTATTTCAATGTCTCAACGAGGATTTGAACCCGGGACTTCTGGTTTCTAGTCTGACGGTGAACTGAATAAACTAAAGAGAAGTTCTCTCTAGTCCAGTGGTATATTGAGGCTAGTATTTACCAGGGTGACATAGAAATGAAATTGAAGAACAACATATGGTTGAAATGAAAAGCAGGTCATTATCATTCATCAATACCAAGGATGATAAGTTACATAATCTGTTTATTATATAATATGACACTTTCAGTGTTTATGAGAGACTTGATTTTTCATCCTAGATTTGTTTTAAATAATTGATCTGGACAGAAAAATTGTACCGTATTTATCCAGTAATAAGCCCAAGGCCAACATTTTACCTCTGGCTAAAAGTAGGGGATTGGCTTATTACAGGACATTGATTAAGCACTTACTGGTAATTCTGCTGAGCAGTGCTTATTATCTGATACTGGACATGGACTTATTGTTGGGTAATAAAACAGTTTACTGTATATTGTGTCCTGTTTAGTGACCACAAATGTGTTGGTAAGGACTTTTTTTTAAAGTGATGATCAGTCATGTACTTCTATGTCTGTAATTTTCGAATGTCTTTGTTTTTCAGAGCACCTAATCCCCAGAAGATCATACAGAATGTTCTCTTGCTCAGCTCAGAAGAACAAGTACAAGTTTTCCACATGCTGCGAGACAAACTCCTTGCTCGTGGCCTGTTGACACTGACAAATGTAACCATGCCATCTTAGCAGGCCAGTTACAACTATTAGGAATTTTATTTGAATTTTTCTTTTAATTTATTACACATTTTAATGGACATTTGATTAGAAATGCAAAGTTTGTTTGGAATATTTTATAAAGTAGAATGTGTTTCCATGGTAATTTCAATTTTTATTTCTGTTGTATGAGAGCTGAGAGAAACAAAAAGAATACATGTGTGTTTGTATGTCTCTTTTTCTCTGTCCAAGGCCAAGGTTAAAACATTGAAGACAGGTATGCTAAGCCAATTTTATCTTCCTCTAACTGGATTTATCTTTTACTTTGTTTTGACGAAAAGTGACACCTCTTTGATCTGAATCTTAATTTCCTGGACACTTTCCATGTAATGATATTTCGATTTTCTTTTAGTCACTCATGACTTGTTTTAGTCACTCATGACTTGGTTTAGTCACTCATGACTTGTTTTAGTCACTCATGACTTGGTTTAGTCACACATGATTTGATACTACCTAGTATATATTCCAAGACAATAAGCTATTCCTTTTGGTTCCTGTTTTATGAGGTTTTAATACTGTATGAAGTTTGAAAGTCAGGTGTGTGATATGCTTGTATATGATAATTACATTATGGACATGTTTTACAAATGAAGACATATTATACACATTAATATATTTGTTTTATTACTAACCTCTGTATTTCACACCTTCAGGTGTAGTTATTATAATGGGCTGGTGACCAATACATCTGATTTACCTAGGAATGATAACTATAATGATATTATAGAATGGTTACATTTAAACTTTGACAAAAGCTAAGTGTAATTTGTTACAGACTAAGCCACAGATTATGTTAGTTCCGTGGCAGCAATATTGGATGTAAATGCTTGCTATTTAAGGATTGTTGGGTTGCATATTGGCAACACATTTGCCTTTCACCTAGATGTCTGGGGTTTGATGCCCTGAACAGACGTAAAAACAAAAACAGTGATGAATCATTAGTTGAAATAACTTGTTTGTTTCATTATACACTTGTGATACAGCAGACTTGAAATAAGATTTTTATCTATTTAGTAAGTAGATGGCAGTGATTCTGGCAGACTTGAAATAAGATTTTTATCTATTTAGTAAGTAGATGGCAGTGATTCTGGCAGACGTGAAATAAGATTTTTATCTATTTAGTAAGTAGATGGCAGTGATTCTGGCAGACGTGAAATAAGATTTTTATCTATTTAGTAAGTAGATGGCAGTGATTCTGGCAGACTTGAAATAAGATTTTTATCTATTTAGTAAGTAGATGGCAGTGATTCTGGCAGACGTGAAATAAGATTTTTATCTATTTAGTAAGTAGATGGCAGTGATTCTGGCAGACGTGAAATAAGATTTTTATCTATTTAGTAAGTAGATGGCAGTGATTCTGGCAGACGTGAAATAAGATTTTTATCTATTTAGTAAGTAGATGGCAGTGATTCTGGCAGACTTGACTGTAGTAATTAAGGTGAATTCCATCTGTGTTTCTGACAGATTTGACTGTGGCGATATAATTGAATACTACAGATTAGACAGTGTAGATTTGAAGGAATCCCAGTTGTGTTTCTGGCAGACTTGACTGTGGTAATTCAAGTGAATCCCATCTGTGTTTCTGACAAATTTGACTGTAGTAGTTAAGGTGGCGATATAAGCGAATACTACAGATTAGACTGTGGAGATCTAAGTGAATAACAACTGTGTTTTTGACTTAACTATGGTGGTCTTAATGCAATGTGTTGTTGTGTTTGGGAGGATACTGGGATGTCTTGTTATTGGTTAACTTTATGTATGATTATCATTAATCATTGGTGCACTCAGTCTGGTGCTGTTTCTCTGTGTTACAAGTGTAATATCTGCCCTCAAGGTAATCAAAGCACTTATGTGTATTGTTGGCTTAAGTATGGTGCTTCAAGACATGACTTAAATTTCAATAGCACCTGCAGTATGTAAATTGGTTTCCTTGGTGATTTGTAACAATAAAACATATGTATAAGGTACCAACTCCTTGGTTGATTACCTGAGGAGACGAGGTAATACCGATGTAAAACCAGAAACATTTTCTCACAGATTTAAAGTACTTTGCAGTAAGTATTTCTTGAAGCATCATATTTGAAATGTACAAGTCTGTATATACATATTTGGATGTATATGTATATTTATATGCATGGTCATATACACATATTTACATACTATTTATTTGTATACCCAACTACATAAATTAATGTTTATGGATATATAAACTTTCCAGTTGATGATTTTGTCATACTCTATGTGGATGATGTCATAAAGAAAATTCTAATGAGCTAATTGATTTAAGACAATATATATGTACTGGTTCAGATGAGACTTGGGGCATTAATTGAGATGGTAATTATTTTGTTATATTAGGATGGTTTTATTATTTAAAAGTTAGAATGGAATTTATTTACTTTTCATTTGGGAAACAAATGATTTGAAATTTATTGTTTCTTTTAAGAGAGAAAGCAAATTCCTATTGTATTGACTGTTAAATTTTTGTTATGAATTTAATGTGATAATGGAGTTTTATCTTTTTGTATGTAGTATTTCCTAACTAGGTCCTTTATATTGTGACCATAGGTAAGTATTTACCTGGGTATAGTACATTTATAATCTGAACGAAACAGGAAATAGTTTATCAGTACAAAGTATATTGTGTAGGTCCCAATCTAGTATGTTGTCAATCACTTTCTTTTTACCAACATTCAAAACCTGCAGAGTTAATCATGACTTCCTTTATTATAAATTCTAGCTATTTTCTTTGATAATAAATGCAGATACATTTGTATGTAAAACACATGGTAGGTTTGAAATGGCAATAACTTTTTTTCATTATGTTTAATTGGTGCATGTTTAAGATGAGTTGCAGTATTAAAGTGTACAAAAGTGTTGAGTTGAGGATGGTATGTACAAGTGTGTTGACATATGGATGAAGTGTACAAGTGAGTTGATGTATGGATGATGTGTACAAGTGAGTTGATGAATGGATGGTGTGTTCAAGTGTGTTGGTGAATGGATGATGTGTGGAAATTTGTGACTCATGTATGATGTGTACAAGTGTGTTGATGAATGGATGATGTGTATTAGTGTGTTGACACATGGATGATGTGCCCAAGTGTGTTGACACATGGATGATGTGTACAAGTGTGTTGACACATGGATGATGTGTACAAGTATGTTGACACATGGATGATGTGTACAAGTGTGTTGACACATGGATGATGTTTACAAGTGTGTTGACACATGGATGATGTGTACAAGTGTGTTGACACATGGATGATGTGTACAAGTGTGTTGACACATGGATGATGTGTTCATGTCTGTTGATGAATGGATGGCAGTGACAGGTGTTGATATAGGGATGATGTGTAAAAGGGTGTTATACTTATGTATGTGAATGGTTTAAGAAATCTTTGGACATCACAGGGATTTTCTTAACTGTATTGTATATGGTTTAAACTTTGGAAGGACAGTATTTAAATATATAGATATATACTCTGAGACCTTGTTCTTGTCCATTTTAAACACTATATAACTTATCACTACTTATATCTAACACCAATTTTGTTGATGTGCCATTTTTATGTCCAGTAGTGTTTGTAATCAAATGTATCTCGTTGATCATCAACTGATAAAATCTAATCATGATCAAATTCTGAAAGTTTGTAAGGATATTTGAAAAAGAATCACAATTGAGCTTATGATTGTTTTGAATTACTAAATAAAAATGCTTAGATTCACGATTTCCATTGATGGTTGATGGGTGATAGTAACTAGGAAATATGTCTGATACGGCACTCACCATGTATCTCTTTAGAAATACCCTGGTTTTAACTCTGGCTTCTAAGTGAATTTGCAGTAAGTAGTAATTACATTTGTTCATAATTTCCATCATGATTAATCAATATCGGAGAGGATAGACTGTGGAAAGACCTTTCCTAGTGTAAGTGTACCTCTTCAAGGTTCTATCACATGATTCGCTTTAAAACAATAATGTAAAGTTTTCCTGTTTGTTTTAATACGTTATTAGCAGGTATAACATTCTAATTATGTGTCATGAGACAACGTACAGCTCTAGGTGATTCTTTACTGTGTCTCTATAATTGACAGTAATAGGCTTACATCTGTACAATATCAAGCCCAGGTGTTTGGAGGTCATGTTTCCAGCATGGTCATCCAAATCATATTGTATTCACAAAACACGAAGCCATTAAAGCTTGAGTTAGACCAAACAGATCAATAGAAAAATGAGATATTGCCTAGTCCTACATTTTTATGTGAAAAAGATTAATTTAATCAAATATATGTTATGTTAGTATTTTAGATGTGAATTTTATTATCTCTGTTGAAATTGTTGTTAAGTGTTGTGATGTTGACAGGAGAGATTTACAGCACATGTAATATTAAAATGACGCAGTGTGATGGTAGAATATCTTGTACATTTGTTTATGTTAAATGTAAATCATTTAATAAATCTGTGTTAGGGCATTGGATTGGCATGTGTACATGTAAATTTGTTTTCTGTTCAATACATGCTATAGCTTATATCCTTGTCACCAGTACACCTTGTTGGTAGTGTCTCAGCAGGAAATGTCGGACACGAAAATGCTACCAAGTATTACTTACACTCATAATTGCCAAAATTTTGGAGTTTTCACAGGGATTATTATGTATGTCTAAAACTTATAAGCCCTAGAAAGTGGATGTGTAGTCCTCCTTTTTTACAAACTTATACCATTAAATGATAAATATTTTCATTTCTAGTACTGACTAGCATTGTAAATAGTTGTAGTAATTACTGACAATTAGTTGTAGTTCTGACAAACACAGGAATGGTCTCTAGTATTTGCACCAAGAATGATTCTAGTATTCACTGACAGGGAGATTGTGAACTGACTAAATTTGCGCGTAACAATAAATGAGAGTATTATTTTAAGTACTGACAAGCACTGATAATGTTTCTATTATTCATACTCAGCAAAGATTCTATTATTTACTAACAATTAAATCTAGAAGTCAATAAAACGGGCACTGTCAGTATTCACACTCGGGGTAATTCTAGTATTCATTGAATATTACTTCAAGTACAGACAAACCCTGGAAGTGCCTCTAGTGTTCTCTCTGAGAATAGACCTTTTATTACTGTGAGTTCTAGTGCTAACACTTGAACTGATTCTAGTATTTGCATTAAAAATAATTCTGGTTTCTGACTATGAGTTCTGGAATAGACTAAACCTGGAACGGCCTTTAGTATTCACACTGAGGAGGGTTCTAGTATTCACATTGCATTAAGATTCTAGTATTTGTTGGCAGTAAGTTCTAGTACTGACAAATACTGGCACTGCCTCTAGTGTTTATTTTTAGAATAGTTCTTATATTTACTCCGAGTTTTAATACTAAGCCTGGCATTCCCTCAAGTATGAACATTGAGAATAATCCTAATGGCTGTACAAAGTCATGTTGGACCCAAAATATTTAAGCTGGATATTTTATTCTTATTATACTCGTTAAGAACATAGTGTTCCAAGCACAAGACATATAAGTCATTTACAAGATTACAATGGACACAATATATTACAGGTCAGTTCTTCATATTTCCTTTGTTTTGAGGTACACATGGTTCATTTTAAGTGTTCAAATTGATAACCTCATAGCATTCTATGTTTAAAAAGTTCAAATCCTGCCCAAATTTCTAGTAATTCAATAGTCAGATTCATCCCATGTTTCACTGTTTGATTTCATTTCTGCTTTAGATAACAAGTTCAGAAGAAAATATTGTCATTGGAAAAAAAGTTTTGATACATTAGTATTAGTTTTTCATTTGTTCCATAAAGGACACTAACCTTATCCTTATTTCACTCTTGTATAAGTTATATTTCAGTGTTGCTGTTATGGTGGTACTTGTGTTGTATATAAGTGATGACATTGTTTCAATTTGTGATATCTACACAGTGATGTTGTTTTGGCTTCTTAAGTAATTAATAAAGAATCAATTGATTAAAAGTCCAAATATCTATAATGTGTTGTTTTTTTTTATACACCCGTCAGTGACAGATTGTATTATGGTATACCCTGCAATGCCTATCTGTTTGTCCGTTAAGTTTTCTATACA